TGGCAACTCATCTCACACGCCGTCAGCAAGTTCAGTGCGGTGCATCGAGCATATCGATCAGTTAAATCCAAGCGGTGCCTCCTCCAAAGATCGCTTGACCAGGTCGCTCTCACTCTTTGCAGAGCTTCAAGGAAAAACGTTCACCTACCTTCCTTGCTACAATATTCTCACCTCGTCCCCCAAATGGAACAAGTATTTCCATGACCAAGAAAACAAAAACATCGAAGGCCCAAAGAAAAAGAATAGTAAACGGGCCAGAAGCAGCGGTGGGCCGCTACGCTACGCTACGCTTTTGGCCCAAAAAGCGTAGCGTAGCGGCGCTTTTTTTTCATCCAAAAGCGGTAGTGTTAGCGTTTTTGTAGCGGTTTTTCGCTACGCTACGCTGCGCTACAGCGCTTTTAGCGGAAAAAGCGGCCAAAAACCGCTAAAAAGCGCTGTAGCGCAGCGTAGTGGGCCCTTTTTTGCGGCCCACACGCGTAGCGTTAGCGGTGTCGTGGCGGAATCCCGCTACGCTACGCTAAAGTTGCGTGGAATTCCGCTACGTTACGCTGCGCTAACCGCTACGGTTAGCGTAGCTGGCCCAGCGTTGCCAGAAGTCCGAGCAGTGAAGCACCGCCATTGAACTCCAAACAAACCTCCGATACGGAGACTCCCCTCTGCTGCTCCAATGTCAACCCGATCGATCCGGAGCCGGGATCGACCTAGTGGGGAAGAAAAAAAGCAAAAGCCAGCTCTCAAAAGACTCCTGCCAGCTGAAAAACCCGTGTGAATGACGGATATGGCTACAGCTCAAGTCGAGATAGCCGCTCAGTCTAAACGTCAAAACGATATCTATCTATCTCAGATTGAGACAATGAAGACCATGGCCAATGCTGCTATTATGAATAAAGATATCAGTGGACTCGATGATGTGACTCAAGAATTCTACAAGCTTCAACGAGAGCAGATCATGCTTCAACTCCGTGAACGATCCAAAGCGAATGCAGTTGAACAAGCAAAACAAGCTGAAGTGGAACGAGCTAGATCTGCCACATCGGCAACTATTTTGACTCAAGGTAGTACTTGTTCTCAAGCTAGTGGCAGTACTCAAACTCAATCAACCACTAGCTCTATTTCTCAAGCCGGCACTCGGACTCCAACTCAAGCAACGACTAGTACAACCTCAATTGATATAGCCTAGTACTGCCTCAATTTATATAGCTCATAGTTCATCATGTACTTCCTTATGTCATCATCTTCTTTCTTGCTTATAAACTTTGGTTATTGATTTACTGTCACTACTCATTGTTTGATTATACTGTTGTGAATTCTTCATGTGATAGAATGAAAGCAACAACAAAAAAAATTATTCATCTGATCGTCCTCTGATTTCCCAGAGGTGTTTGATCAGATCATTCCTTAAAGTGACATGAGTTGCCTTGCTTCGCAAGGCACGGACATTTGATATAAATTGAGAAAAATCGGCCCTAGCATTCGATCGTTCAACATTGACCTCGGAAACCGTTGCCGATGTCTGATAAAAGTTTTCTATGTTGACTCCGCGCTCATCCTCCACAATCATGTTGTGGAGGATGACACATGCTTTCATGATCAGCTGTAGATTCCCATGTCTCCATCCTCGAGCCGGTCGTGACACAATCGCAAATCGAGATTGAAGAACACCAAAGGCTCTTTCCACGTCCTTCCAACAAGCCTCTTGCATCTTTGAGAAGTGTTTTCTCTCAAGACCTTGAGGCTGGGATATGGTCTTGACTAGTGTAGCCCAATCTGGATAGATTCCGTCTGCAAGGTAATAACCTTGTCGGTAACTTGGTAAGTGTTACCATTCACAACAAACTTGCAGCTTGGAGCCTCTCCATTGAGGAGGCTTTTAAACAGAGGTGAGGAGTCCAATACGTTGATATCGTTATTGGAGCCTGGCAAACCAAAATAGGAATGCCATATCCACAAGTCTTGTGAAGCTACGGCCTCCAAGACGATTGTGGGCACCTAAAAATGGAAACCAATCAGAATCTGAAAAGACAAAAATATCGGTGATGAACTATTCACCTTCTCTTTTCCTTGAAATTGCCCAGCCCAAGCGGATGGACAATTCTTCCATTCCCAGTGCATACAATCCAGGGATCCAAGCATCCCTGGAAATCCTCTCTTCTCTCCAATAGCAAGCAGTCGCTTTAAATCATCAGCGTTGGGTTGTCGAAGATATTCAGTTCCGTAGACTTGGATGACTGCCTGGCAAAATCGGAGCAAGCTTTCATCGGGAGTTGATTTGGCAAGGCGGAGGTATTCATCGTTCAAGTCAGAGGCACCACCGTAGGCAAGCATCCGAACAGCAGAGGTAATTTTTTGTAGAGGCCTTAGTCCAGGTTTTCCCAAGGCATCAGCCTTCTGCACAAAGTAATCATCATTTTCTTGGATGTCTTCAACAATCTTCAAGAAAAGAGGGTGTCGCATTCGGAATCATCTTCGAAACATGTGATCTGGATAGACAGGATCTTCAGCAAAGTAGTCGCTGAAAAGTTTGTTGTAGCCTGCTTCAAAATCTCGAGGTAAGTTGGGCATGCGACCAGGCCTAGATCCACCGTGCACCGGCTGTTCTTCATCCTCTCTTCTTAAGCTGAACAACATGTTTGTGGAATTGATTATTGACAATCTTTGATTCAACCCGTTTGAAAACAGCATACGCTGAGTTTGGAGTACAACTTGTAGGTGAGTGTTGAAGTCAAGGTCTTGATTAAAATCTATATCCATCTTGATGAAAGGAAGGGAACTTGAAGGATTTGAAAAAAAAAATCAAGAAAAAAAAACAACAATGGTGAAACAAGCTGGGGGGACAACAACCGGGGTTGCAGGTATGCCACCGGGGGGGGACCTTTCATGAAGATTTGGGTTGTGGTTACCACTTTGCGGTGGCGGCCCTCCCTGATCTGAGGTGGTAAAGCTGAAACTCGGGTGGTAAATCCGGCTTATACCACCCCGGATTTACCACCTGCGGTGGAGTTGCTCTAACACATTGGCCCAGGGTTGCTGAAATGACAGGGACAATTTTCCGATGATGGTCCTAAAAAAACTTATGATGCACGAAGCTGAAAGCAGAAGTATCTAATAGACGAGCTATCCGCGAAACACCATATGAACAACAAATAGTTGTGAGTACACGCTGACGGATGAGTCTAATGATAGACGAGTTGAGGCACACCTTATGAACAACAAGTAGTTGTGAGTACATGCTGGGGGACAAGTTGAGGCACACCTGTGGTTGGTGATAATGAGACAAAATAGAATGAGTTGAATTAGAATGAGAAAAAACTAATGAAGAATGAAATGATGAGACTACAACAAGCAAACCTTATGAACAACAAGTAGTTGTGAGTACACGCTGACGGACGAGTCTAATGATAGACAAGTTGAGGCACACCTGAGATTGATGATAAGTGAGAACAAGAGTCAATGAAAGAAGGAGAGCTGAAATGAATGAAATGAAATAAACTGAAAGAAAGCCAAGGCATACCTGTGGTTGGTGATAATGAGACAGAATGGAAGTTGAATTAGAATGAGAAAAAAAAATGAAGAGTGAAATACAACTGTGATAGGAAACTAAGAGGTATTACATTCAACAATTAGGTTTGGAACTCAAACTCAAACTTTGAGTATCACCGATTCCACAGCATGAGGCCCAAAAGGGGTCCAGAGTTTGGCTGTAGTTAAATAGTATCAAGTTTGTCAAAGTGAGCCAATTGAATGAAATGCAATGCGGTGGGCGAATCTAGAAACAAAAAGTTAAAGCCAAGTATATAATCTCAAGGCAAATCCTCATTACCCCATTGAGGAGTAATGAAGAATCTGATTTGCATTCACAACACTCGGAGTTGGACTTCCAAGCTTCCCTCCAGGGATGTACTTGTTTGCTGGCGCATGAAACTCGCTGGGAATGTTTACTTTCCTGCCAGTGAATAATACTTGCCCGAAATGTTCTGAAAGTTGACCCGATGTGATTACATGTACCTTATACCTGCTAGCTGCTAGCTGGGGAGTAATTTGACAGCCCGTTGTTGAGGAGGAGTAAATGAATCCTCCCCAGCACTTGGGTTATACCTTGCACCTTCCCGACAAACACCCTGATGTCCATGCAAGTCCAGGTCGCGAACAAGTTAGGCACTGACGATTGGTGAGGATGGATACTCTGCACAACGAATAACGGGATGAGCTCCCAGCTCAACAGTTACGTGACGATTGTCACTTTCATTATGCGTTTGGAGGTACTTTTTGCTTCTAGATTCGGCCACGCAATGCAATGAGTTGATGCTGTGAAAACAATGGATTGGATGAAAAGGGAAAAAGAGTGTTGAAGCCAATCGACTGGGTTTCGAGAGACAACTGCGGCGTGATAATTGTGAATTACGATGAGAATGAATAGAAATACGTATGCAGACATCGATGAACTATGATACAAGTTCAATACCTTCAAAGGCAGCTCCGGATAGCTCTCGACTTTTCCCTATCAGTCTCGGTCACTTTGAATTCTCGAGAATCATGGACCCCTAACTCACATCTTTACATTTTCTGTATTGAAGTTTTTCACAATGGCCATTTTTTTTGCACGGCTGGTGATGTGCGTAGTTACAGTTTCTTAATTTCCATCCCTGTTTGATTGCTCACTGCGTTTTGCGACACGTTCGCCAGATGGCTCAACCTGTATTATATGGTGTCCCTTCCCGGATAACCTCCCTTTCATACAAGCGAGTGGTCGAACCAGCCTGGCAAACAGCTTCATGGCATGAGCAGTTAGCAGGACTTGGGAATGACCTTACTTTTCAATGTAATTTGAGCCTGATAGACGATGAAGAAATAGAACAGATGATCAATTATATTTGCAACATCGCAGTTGACTGATCACCAAATGTGCCGGAAGTGACACCGTGATAGCGGCCGCACGGCGAGAAACTGTGATCGATGTATCACACGCTGTTACATCTTGGCGCGTCGCGCATAACCGCTATCATGCGCGAAAACCCGAGGATAACAGCTGTTAACTTATCGGCTGTGAAGGCATTTTGCATCGGTCTAGCTTTCAGCGCCATATCTCTTTGTTATCGCTCATCGAGACCTACCGCAATAATGATTCGACTTGGCCATGGGCGCATCGGTGTTACGCAAACGACCGGCCGGTCTGGCGTATTATAGCGCATCAATTTTTTCCAAGATGGGGCGATTGACGATGGTGTGCTTTATCTGTTACGCATGTCCGATAGAAATAGTAGTAGAGAAAGTATTCGCGGGAATTGTGCAAGAACCCTGTATGAACTTTGGCTAATGCTTCCGGAATTTAGTTGATGGACTTTTTTCCCAACACAATGTGCGAACGCGCGCCACGAGTCGCCCGACCGGCACGAGCCGAAAGTAACGTGTAAAGGAAGACTCCAGATTAACATTTACAAAGCCGCCATGGATTTTTGTTTGACTTGGGTTTCACCTTTTGAGGTTGCTCCGAAATTTTAATTGACAGCCAGAAGGAGAACGCCATGAACTTGCCACGTGTCTGATGTTGGTGAGCGTGTGGCAGCTACTTGCCGTTTGCTCCTAATTAAAGATTGGAATTGCTGAGCTTGGATGGTCCAGACCCACTAGGTCGGTTCTAATTTGTCGACTCTATTGTATGAGTACGATTTTCCATAATGGGGTCTAGCTGAAGTTGCAAAAAACCTGTACTCGGCAGGTGTTTCCATCACTGAATTATCGACGCGATGGATGGTGTTGCCATGAAGGGACTCTAACTGCCGTTCCACTAGTTTTCCATTCGGGATAGGATGTATGATCTTCAGTAACGAACATCGTCGCAGAGGAGGTGTTGGGCATCAGTTTTACTAAGATTACCGATTAGAAGTTTTCCACGTAGATCGGGATCAGCGGCAGTGTTGATGCTGCACAACTCTTCAGTTCAAAGGCTCGTGAGCTCCGGAACACGCCCATGTTCGGATGAGTCCGGACCAACCTGACATCTTGATCGAGAACCAACATCTGCCCATAAAATTGAACGTCGACCTTCGGGACAACCAAGCTTCATGTCGCCAGGTTTTTTGCCTATTTTAAAAATTACTTAAAAGACAAAGCCCCTCTTGATTTCCTTATCAATCACAGTGAAACTATTGAAATTATTGAGCTCATAGTTACTCTCAAACTTCAGACCCTTCCAGTACACTTCGGCCTTAGTAATAGAGGATTTAGCGCCATGAACTCCGTCAACTACCAAGCGGAAATAATAGTTAACATCCACGAGACTGTGCCCCAAGCTTTTATTGATACCCCGAGCATTTTATATCGCGAATGGAATCAGGGAATCGACCAGCCACTTGGCACTCTCCCAAAAAATCTCAAAATTTGTTTGATTGGGGCAGGAATATCAAATGCGATAGCCGCTCTTGAACTGGTGAAAGCCGGTGCTCACGTCACACTCCTGGAGGCTAGATCCGAGGTTGGCGGGAGAGCGCGATCGGAAAAATTCGAGGATGGCTTCAATATTGCTGAAATGGGCGCTATGCGATTCCCGATTACCAGTGGACTTTTACTATATTACGCGAAGGAATTCGGTTACTGCTTTATTTCAGATTTCCCAGACCCGGGTAGGGTTCCAACTTTTATTTCTTATAGAGGCCGAAATGTCTACTGGAAGAATCTCACTGCGGCCCCCAACGGTTTCGAGAAGGTGCATGTGGGTTGGGATACGTTTGTAAAAAATGGATTAAAAAATGACGACACAGAGATTTTTACATCTCTATATCATTTAAGAACTTTGCTTCAATCGAAAGATCAAGAAGTGAGGCTCACAGCAGTTCCTCTGTGGCAGAAATACTTGGATTTCTTCAAGAAAGACAGCTTTTTCGGGGGGCTTCGAAGGATTTTTGGACCTGAGCACGAGTGGGACATCCCCGGGCAACAAGAATGGGAAGAAAATGATTTTGAAATGTTCGGAAGTCTAGGAATAGGTTGCGGCGGCTATGCACCTGTTTTTTGCAGAGACTTTACTTACATCTGCCGCTTAGTGGTCAATGGACTATCAAGCGAGCAGGCCACTTTTGCAAAAATGAAAAACGATCAACCATTTCCCGCACCCATACAAGAATTAGTCAAAGATATTTGCTCGAAGGCGGCCTCACTAGGGGCAACCGTCAGATTGGAAACACGCGGCGAAGTAGTTTCTTCTTGCAACATCAACGGCTCTTCCTCAGTAACGGTGGAGGAAACTTGCCATGGCGTCACAACGGAGAATGTTTACGACCTTGTCATCATTGGCACTACTACCCGCGCTGCAAACGTGATGATGAGATATCTCAGTAGTTATTCCTCCAAAATCCTTTCTGAAGCTGCCAGCACGGCAGTAAACAACATCAGCATGATTTCTTCAACCAAGGTTTTTGCCAGAGTGAAGAAATTTTGGAATGAGAAGAGCAAAGAGAATTATCCAAGAGTCATCTTATCAGATACCAAAGCTTCCCAGCTTTATACTTTGGACTACGGACATCCAGATTATGCAATAGTTTTGCTGACATATGCCTGGGGTGATCTATCAGATCAGATCATGACAGTCAAAAACGATAAGGAACTCTATCGAATTTTGAAAAATCAGATCCATGAGATCATGCGCGACTCCGACTTCAGTGACTATGCAGAACAATTAACTCCCGTCGAAGAAAACGACATACGTGTAGTTCACTGGCAACTTGATCCAACAAGTCTTGGAGCATTCACTCTGGCCAGGCCTGGCCAAGCGCGATTGATTGCTGACGCATTTTACGACTTCAAAAGGCTATTGGAAGACCAAGATCACTCCGGAGTTTTACTTAATGGTGATTCTATCACCTTCGAAGGAGGATGGATTGAGGCTGCGTTGAGGACTTCCATGAATGTCACATCAGCAATCCTGCTCAAGTATGGATCTGTAGAAGGATATAGTAAGGCACCAATAAACTTGCTAGATAGACATATTTATAAGTATTAGTGGTGTTCAAAGATGACTGTATGAATGCATGAAAACAAGTGCAAAACTCGCTAGGTTGATATCTTCATTTGTTCAGAATTGGAAAAAAATTGCAGATCCGTCCAAGGTATTGTAAAAACACAATAAATAATAATGGCTAGGGTTATATGAGCAGGTCCCAAACAAAATGAATTTATGATTTTATGTTATGCATATAGGCATCAACTTTGAATACCCCTCTTAGCTTGTAATTGAATTCCATTCTTGGTCTTCAGAAGTAAGTTTTGAACTGTGCGTTATTACAATCAAATGCTAGATAAACCTATCACTATGAAAAAATCTCACCAAACTGGTGGCAGTTGACATGCAGGTTGCTCCCAATGTAACTTCTGTCATACTAGGGGGTATCAAATATAGGAAATCCACCATCAGAAACCAGTCACTTTTCCAAAAACTTTTTTTGCATAAATGGGCCCCAAAAGGGGTTAAATGGATAACCAACATGTTTAAAAAAGGGTGGATTTTTTCAAACCAGTCAATTAATTAATGGTGGATTTGGTTATATTTGATACCCCATACTGTAATATATTCATATGTAAGAATATCTGCACAGTAACTGTGCATTGAAGTGTACATGAGGTAATGGTTGAGTAACAACCCAACTTTGAAGAGAGTTTCTGCATGTCAACCGGCAGCATTTCCCTGAGATTTTTTTCACAGTGTATGGGGCTGATTTTTGAACATTTTTACCAAGGCTCAATCAATTGGGCAATATTTGTACTTGGAGGAAGAAAATATTTCCCTGGCATAGCAAATAAAAAAATGAATCATCAATCCTTAAAATCATTCATCTGGAGGAGCCTAGATCTCCTCTGATTTGGGGAGCTCTAGATACTCTCTCCTTTGTGTTTGCCATTCTAAAACTTGTTTCCACCAAGAAAAATATGTATCTTGCCCAAATCCAAGTAACATTTCTCCTTGGGTATAGCAACAGTGCAACAGAGACAATACGAGACGGTATCAGGCATTTATGTGTATCATCTCAGAATTTCAATACCCAAAAATACCGGATTTGTGTTGTCTCACTTTCCTGACACAATACACACGTATGGATATTCTGTATTGTCTCAGATGACTGATCCTACCAAAAACGTATTTGATACACAAGATATCTGGCGGTATTGAAGAAACAAATGGTTTTTTTTTTCATTTGTAAATCCAAATCCAAGACAATGGATTTTCTCACCAACCAAGAAAATACTGATACCAGTATCAGGCTCAAAATAAAGACAATAAGACCCAATACAAATACTTGTCTTGTATCTGTTGCACCATTGGGTATGGATAGGTATTATTTGGTGTTTCAGCCTGGTGTCTCTCTCCTCTGGGCCATAAATACATCATGGTAACAGCCCAATAAAACCTCATGACCAGGCTCAAAATCTCATTTTCTCACTAGTTTTGGCAAGCTTAACATGTGAGTTTTGGCAATTGGATCCTTTGGTCCCAAACCAAACGAGAAATGTTGTCATTATCATTGGTTTGAAACCAAAGAACAAGC